TATATATATATATATATATGCATGAGAGTGTGTGTCTGTGTGTCTATGTATCGTTTTTATCGACGCGCATGTACTCCCTCTCCCTCCCCCCATCCCTCCCTTTTCCCCCTTACATCCTATAGTTTAATCGTAATTTATCCGTAACTTACAGCTAGTAGTGAATTCTTTGTCATTCTCGATTTTTTTACATCATTCCCCGCCTTCTTACTATTCGAAAGGGCGCGATTCTCTCCCTCCTTTCTCTTTCTCAATCTGTGATCCGGGACGACGTATGTGTGTGTAAAATATTTTCGTGCGAGATGATTTTTGAAATTTCCCAACCGTTCCCAATCGCTATCTGCAATTAAAAATTTGTCTTATTCTACTTAAAAATCTCAAATTACACGCTAAAGTCTCTTGATTTGTCAGTAGAAAATTTAGTCCATTATCTGTGTTTATAATTAAAAAAAGCCTGTGTAAAGAGCCGTATTTTTCCACATGTTACGCTGCACGTCATGCTGCATGTCAAGCGTGTATACAATTTGTGTTTATTTTCAAGAGACGTTTTATAATACGCACGAGATTGTGGAAAAGAGGGAGAGAGAAATGAAGGACACAGAAGTAAAATCCCTTCAATGGTGTTGGGCCCCCTCTCATTATACCCTTCCCCACCCCGAGCGTCGATGTATCAATCGATTCGATTTATCGAGCGTTGCTTAGCGATAATCGTTATAGCTACCGACAGCTCTCTAAAATACCTATCGTTATTACTATCATTATTATTACTAGTTTCATTATTATTACTTTATTACTCTTATTATTATTAATTTTATTATTATCATTAACGTTGTTACTAATCATTTGTTTAGCGTTAATAAATATAATTTATTAAATATAGGAACCATGTTTCTGGGTCTTGCTTGCTCGTTCGCGCATGCGAATCGTTTCGATGACGGGCACACCGGGAGTTTGTTACGCTGCCGCATATACCGTCGTTTTCCCTTTTGTCCACCATTTTACTACATTTTCTTTTTTTTATCAAAATGGAAAATAAAGAACGTAAAAAAACGTACGTGCCAAGTCCATTTGTACACGTGTGTACAGTGCGCGCCTGTTTGTGTGTGTGTGTGTGTGTGTGTGTGTGTGTGTGTGTGTGTTTTATTGTAGAGAAAGTGATTGAGAAAGAGTATGCTACGTGTGTATGTGTATCTTCTTGAATTTTCCTTCGTTTTTCGTCGCTTTCTCGAAAAGCTTTTCTTTTCTTTTTATCTTACCTTTTCATCGCCATCGAAGTCGCTGAACGATTCGCGACACACACACATACACACGCATGCACGCACGCACGCATGCACGCATATACATCCGCACGCACGCAGATCCACATTCACACAAGTCAGTGGAAAGCCACGTGCATACGGCGCGTCAAAACGAGAAAGAGAGTGATAGAGACAGTCAGATATCTATATATATATATATATATGTATATGTGTATATATATATAGATGTATGTATATATATATATATGAATATGTACGTACGTATTCGTAACGATGGCGGCGTTTTTAGTTTCGCGCGCCGCGCACCATCTACCCTACTACGCCGCGCTTAACAGCGTCCGCTTGTATCTTCCTGCTTCTCTTTTTCTTTTCTTAGTAACTCTGCTTTAAATCTTTATTATTACTTTACATAGGAACGTTTAAGTTAGCCCACCTCGACGCGCGTCGTTCCGCGTCGCACGACGCACTTTCCCTCCGGAACTTCCCGTACTCTCCTCACCTGGAAACATACCGCGCACATCGTTCCGAGAAGAATCGCGCCCAAGATCAGCTTGATCTGATCGAGCCACTGACTAATCGATCGATCAATCGACCGTACGACCGACTGACCGACCGATCGATCGGTTGTTGGCCGACCAGCAAGGAGGATTTCTCGATCGCGCTCGTTCGATCATTCCGCAGTCGATTCCACCTAGACTAGCTCGTCCTTCATCGAGTCTCTCTCTCTGTCCTTTTGCTACCTTTTTTTTATTATTAATTTTTTTCTTTTTCTTTCGTGCTACGAGAGGAACTTTGGAGAGCGCGCATTTTCACGGCGCGCGCTGCGCGGGATTCGCATTACAAAAATAATAGGCGAACCGCGGGGGGCGGGGGCCAGGGGGCAGAGAAGCGATTGGAGGGTGGTTATGTGCTGGCGGTGCATAAACGACGAAATTAAGAGAGAGAACATCAATGACCGTCCGCGCCTGAGTAATGTGCCTCCCTTTCCTGCCCCCTCTCCTACCGCCACGGGGCAAATGCCCCCGACGGGGTGCATCACCGAGATGGACACTCCGTGCTTGCCCGTTAATCGCCGGTTAGGAACATTGGCTCGTTCACTGCGACGTCCTCGGGGTCCGACCTCCTCCAAGTGACGTCTGTAGGTTCTCGTCTCTCCCTCTTTTGCCCATCTTTTCACTTTTTTTCCTTTTGCAGTCCTTAGTTCTAATGTTATTCGCTGCTATTTTGTGCGCGCAACTTTCCTGTTTTTGAGAGAGATGGTAGACCAATCCCCGAGCTTCGATATGGTGGCGTTTAACGTGCACCGGTGAGAGCGGTGACTTCTTGCACCAGTTTCTGCCGCTTGGCATCGGGTCCATTGTTGTTGTCCTGACTGCCGATCCGGTCACTGGCCTGTAGTTGACCAGTTGTACTCTCGGCGGCCGCGCGAGCCGCCAATAGAGTGATCTGATTGACGACGTCCTCCATCTCGTCGGTAAGCGGGTTCGTTTCCTCGCCGGATTGTGCGCCGCCGTCATATTGTTGCTGTTGCTGTTGCTGTTGCTGGCGTTCTTGAGCGGCCTCGAGACGCACTCGATGCTGCAGCGTCTCGGCGTGACGACGCCACTCGCTCACGGTGGTGTAGGTGCGCGTTGATACGCCGGGCTCGCATAACGAACAGCAGTAACGCACTTGCACGAGACGCAGGGCGCCGCGACGTTGTTGATTGCCGAGATAGCAAGACCGCTGGTGTGCCAATAGCGACGATTCCTGCGGATACGCGCGGCCGCAACGGCGACAGACGAGGCACAGCTCAGTCTCCACTTCGCGACAGTGTTGAGGTGGTCCGCCTTCATCGGCGCCACACGATGGAGCCGGCAAGCGGACCGTCTCCAGGCCCGGATGATTCGGATCCTGCTGTAGGAACGCCTGCATCAGGGCCCGCGGTACCTGCACTTGCGAGCCACCCTCCACGTGCAGCGGCATCATAGTACTTCCGAGTAGACCGCCGCTCAAGCCTGCAGCCGCTACTGAAACCAAAGCGTGATCGATTCTTGTTAGAATAGAGACTTGCTCTAACTCATTATCTACACTACAGATTTTCTAATCAGAATCTGACCAAAGTAGATAAAAAAAATAACGGATTAAAGGAGTTAACACAGGAATTTGCTTTCTTTCTCTTATAGCTATCTGTCTCTTTTTTCTCTCATTTTTCAAAAATATACAAAGTTATTCGAAATATAGATGAATAGATCCTAAGTGGCAACCAATCAAAAGAATTGGTCCACTTTGATCAGTTTCTGATTGGAGGATATCGAATCTGCATTAGAATCCCTTAAGTAAAAGTCAGATCATCAAATAATCATCAAATAATACGCTATATGATGACAATAAATACTAAACAAGCGAAGCAAAATAAAAAATATTAAACTGTATCTTTATAGTGCTTCTACAGTAAAGAGTATGTAAAGTTTATAATTTCATTAAGTTATGTAATTTTACAATTTTTATTATTTTAATTTCTGTTTAAATTATTCATTTCATTCAATTTCCTATTTGAAGAGTTACAATTGCTTCCATCATCATATTGATTACAGATTTAATTAAATTAATCTGTAATAAGTAATAGTATACCTGACTAGACTCTTTAGAGATTCCGGTCTGTACCAGTCATTTGCCTTCGATTGCTACGTCAGTTTCACGCATGTCGCGCTAAAATCATTATTATCACACCTGTTTCATTTTGAAATTAAATTCACCCTGCTCTCGAGATAATCGGCTCGTTTTATGAGTGTCAATACAAATTTTATATCTTGGTACTAATTTTTTCCCCAGCTTTCATAACGCAAAAGCGTTAGCGGAGAAAAAAAAAAGAATAAGTGCCAATATTCAAACGATGCATCTGAATATGCATATGAATATCTACAAAAGATATCTGTAATTATACGGTGGTTTCTGTCCGGATCTATTTATGAGATTATTATAAACGCCGGGATTCGCGTTCGACATCAGCAGATGTCATAAAGAAAACGTAAAATTCTTAAAGTTACCAGACTTCTGTAAGGAAAGGATAGCGGGAAGTTACACGGCATGTTCGTGCATAATTGATTTGTGCCAACTTAGTTGTCATAATAGCATCCCCGCCGTAAACGGGGTAGAATTTATGCGGAACCTGTTTTCGCCTGAGCGAGACAGGTAAATTGGTAGTTATTAGCAGGCCCGCGGGCCGGTGCGCATTGACGGGATAATTCCTGCGGCCGCGTCTCGAGGGGCCGGAGGATAGTCCGATAGTCCATGTTATCGAAAGGGTCTCCCAATGTGCCTTGGTAAGATGATTAAATTCTAATTTCAGGATCACGCCTCGCAGGATGTGTTGCTTTTTCTTTTTTAATTCCCTTTTCTTTTTTTTTTATTGATTGATCGAGTAAACGACTATAGAAAAGCATAAAATATGTCATCGAACTATAAGTCTGGCTGACATTTAATCGAATGCGTGACGCAACGCGCGCGCGTCGCGAGGACCGAGAGAAGGACGTCGACGTCGATTAGGCGAGTTGACAGGTTTACGCAGTGACGCGCGCGATAATATCGCGCGTATCGTGTATCAGATGAGGATCGTTACGAGGCAGGAAGTGTTAATGATACCCCTGCTCATTCGTTGAACGCCCGGTTGTAATTATCGGAGTTGGTGGGAGGAAGACGAGGAGACGACAAGGAAAACAGGGGAGAGCTCTCTCTCTCTCTCTCTCTCTCTCTCTCTCTCTCTCTCTCTTATTTAACTACCTATCTCTGTCAATGTAGGTTAACTTTTAGCTTACTTTTTATCTTTTTCCAGTTCTAAGAACGAGAAAAGGATAAAGAATAAATTAAAGTTAAGAGAAGAATTAAAGTTAATTTAGATTAGTAAATGGACGTTAATTGGATTAAATTTTTAGTTGTTACTGCCATTATTGTATTTTGCACGTCTTCTCTTTTCTACTTTCGCTACCTTTATATTTTTATTTCTATCTTACTTTATTATTTTTATTTAATTTTCTTTTTCTGTATCTTCTACATATTTCTACATTTGAGTTCCCTATTAACAATTATCAATTTTTGTTTATAATTGTAATGCTTATTTTGAGGGGATGTTATCTCGGAGGACTTAAATAGCGATTTATTTCTCTCTCTCTCTCTCTCTCTCTCTTACTTTCTTTCTCTTTCCCGTTCCTTCAGTTTGTCTCTCAATGTCGGTATGAAATTGATCGTCATTAGACGGCGGGACTAGAGTGTCAAGACCTCGTCCGCGGTTTCATTCTTCTTTTGTCGTTTAATGAGAATCCCTGGCACACGCATGGCAATGTTTGACTAACACTTCTCCTTCTTTCTGCTTCTCTTAGTTAGATATCTCGCCTTTTCGCTCTCTCGCGTATCTCGCGCGCTCACGTGGATTATGGTTCACCTCGATCGGGTGAGCAAATAATCCGCATTTTTATGTTCCGCCATCGAAAGAGTCCTTCTCGGAAAGAGGAGGCACGGCCGTATGCAATAAAGAAGGGAGAAAAGTGTTACGGATAAATAGGGGATTAGCGCAACAACATTGGACACGGTGTATAGTTCTGGTCGCTTCGTCTGCTCCCTTTACAGCCCCGTACCATTCACGGGAATGTGGCAAATTCATTACCAGCCGATCCACGGACTCGCTTGTCCGCAATACCAGAGGCAGCTCGCTCTTCTTGTTTGATATAATCAGCTGAATAATGATCATCGAGCGCACACATCACAAATATAACGTGTATGTGGCGAACGATGGACATGATTATTGTGAAATTCGAAATGAAATCGTTGAACGAAACATAAAAATGAAGCATTGCTTAACCTAATCCACGCGAATGTTTATAAAATTATTTCTTTATTATTTCTTATTTATCTTGCAGGACTCACTGGCCGAAAATTTTCTTCCTTACAAAATGTTAAATCCTTCCATCCAAAATGATTTTATAAATTTTAAAATAGAATGACTTTGTTGCCGTTTATACTATTTATCATTGGTACCCGTACTAAAAAGATATAAATATGTAGTGCGAGGATTTTTATATATATAGAAAAAAGCATTCTTATCGATTAAAAGTTATCAAACTGATAAATTTTTGCCTTTGCGTGGCAGTTACAGTGTACTTTTAGAATTCTAAAAATATTCTCGATAAACCAAAACATACAACAGTAGTAATAAATTGAGCTAATGATAATTAGACAGCAAATGCGTAATTTATTTATAAAAATATTTTTAATCACCAAGAAATAAAGTAATTTAAAGAAGAAGGTTTCAGCTAACCTCTTTAACTATCATCAGCAAAGATAGCGCAACATACACGTTCAGACTACTTTCGAACTTCTCGATAAATCATCTTTGATCCCGCGATCGCGTTCTCTACAATGAACAATGCTATTTTTTATTATCTCTGAACCTCGTGCGGCATAACTTAACCGGAGGGCACGGGAGTTGTTCAACGACGTGATTTCTTTAGCTGATAGACTTCCTCCTTCGTCGTTGGTCCTCCGCCGTGTGAAGGTATTTAATACGATAAGGAAGATTGTTAAATATATAACGCGTAGCGGCCAGACGATCTCCGTGTGACACCCTTGAAACAATCGAAACGATCGAGGAGAAGGATTATTACTCTTAATGAGCACTGGTTATTTCTTTGAGTGGCTTTGATTCGTTCTCCCTTTTCCGTCCTCCGTCACCTTCTCCTCCACGGCGGTCAACGGAGGACCGCCTTTGCTACGATCGCGCGTACGCGTGTGTGTGTATACGCGTATAAATGCGCGAAGAGAAGAAACTCACACACACCTCTCTGCACGCGCATCACTTTCATCTCGTCCTCTCGGAGGGGCTCATTTGCGTACGGATTGAGATAGTAGTGCCTTCGGTACGGTCGCGATATGTTTTTGTTTAAATGTGTGACCGGCGTGTACGCGCGCGTCTCGCGCGAGATTCTGATTGCCGGCCGCTCCCAAGTCCCCAGTGATCGTCATTGCGACGGACACTCATTATTTAATTTCAGCATGCTACTATGGTTTAATCCTTTGCGCTGAGAATTATTCTGACCGTGATACTAATAAAACGCATTTATATGGTGCTCAATACGCGCAGAGGGCTCCTTCTTGAAGAACTTTCGGGGCTTTATAATGTATTAGAAATGCTATCTTTGCTGTTCAATTATAAATAATTAATGATAAAATTCCACGTATATATTCATTGTGTTTGTACTTCTATTTAAAAGATGGTATTATGCATGAACATAAAATTATAAATTCTTTCCTTTGTAAATATTGGGTATGGGAAAAAGTTCATGGCGATTTTTTAGTAAAATTAAAGTGCTTTTCTTAGAGTATTGAAATCAATTTATTTAAACCAAATATGCTCCATTATTTTCTATAATATTTTACCATTTTTGGGGCAGAACCATAATTCCTTCGCGATAGAACTTCTGTGGTTTCTAATCGAAAAACTTCAAGTGATTTTCACAAGCCTCTTTTGAAGCTAGCTTTACACCATTAAGAGAGTTCTGCAGAGACCTAAACAAATGATAGTCTGAGGATGCTATGTCAGGATTATACGGTGGATGCATTAAAACTTCCCAGCCAAGCTCTCGCAATTTTTGCCGAGTCATCAAAGATGTGTGTGGTCGAGCGTTGTCGTGATGGAAGACGACACCTCTCCTATTGATTAATTCTGGCCGCTTCCTCTCAATTGCTTGTTATAATCTCTGCAGTTGTTCACAGTAGAGTTCGGAATTAATTGTTTGATTGGACGATAACAGCTCATAATGAACGATTCCCTTCCAGTTCCACATACACAACATCACCTTCTTCCTCATCAATCCAAATTTTGCGATTGCGCCTTCTCTCCTTCCTTTATCCACGATCTTTTTCTACTTGGATTATCGTAGGTGATCCATTTTTTATCACCAGTTATCATTCTCTTCAGAAATGGCTCAATTTCATTCCGTTTCAGTAGCGTATCACAA